CGATCACGTGATCCCCGAAGTCGCCTGATTGACTCCGAAAATGACCGATAGTCGGAGATAAACGTTCATTTGCGTAAATCGGCTTATTTTTTAATGCGACGAAATAAACAGTCAAAATAAACATTCGTCATCGTGGCAACTATCATAGTTCAAAGGAAACAAAGTGGTTGTTCTTCCTGGGGGTTATAGTATCAAAGCAATGGGTTTTTAACAAGAAGTCGAAAATATCATTTTTTACCAAAAATGACAAAAATATTCACCAAAATTAGAGAATTGAAGATATCATTACAAAATGAACAAATCTGAGAGAAGTCCACATGTAGTACCTATATATGTAATATCAAAGCAATTGGACTTGCGGTTTTTAACAAGAACTCGAAAATGTCACTTTTTACAAAAAATTACAAAAATATTCACCAAAATTAGAGAATTAAAGATATCATTACAAAATGAACAAATCGGAGAGAGGTCCACATGTAGTACCTATATATGTAATATCAAAGCAATTGGACTTGCTGTTTTTAACAAGAAGTCGAAAATATCACTTTTTACCAAAAATGACAAAAATATTCACCAAAATTAGAGAATTAAAGATATCATTACAAAATGAACAAATCTGAGAGAGGTTCACATGTAGTACCTATATATGTAATATCAAAGCAATTGGACTTGCGATTTTTAACAAGAAGTCGAAAATATCACTTTTTACCAAAAATGACAAAAATATTCACCAAAATTAGAGAACTGAAGATATCATTACAAAATGAACATTTAGCTAAGAGAGGTCTACCCAAGGTACATATACACCAAGTATCAAAGTAGTAAAAAAAGTCTGGCCTTATTATAAATTTGGCATACTAGTAGTCAGTACTATGATATTCATAGTAAATTGTAAATTGCCGAAAAATTAACAGGTGTTCGATCTCCTAATAGTGAAAGATGCAGGTTTACTGAATCTTGTCAGATGTGTTGTCTTTATGCTGATTAAATACATTATGCTCGCCTTTTTATTGGTCCATTATATACCGGTAGTCAGAATTTGGGTTTAAAGTTGCCTGGTATTTGCCATAGTTTGCCACAAAAATTTTCGATTACATCCCAGCTTGGCTTGACTGCGTACTGTCCGGGCGGGAAAATGATTACTCACACTCGCTTGTAAAGTCGAATTTACCTTAATGTTACAAGCGACTGTGATCTGTCCAAGACGAAAACACTTGACCATAAGTTTGATAAAACATAGACAGAATATACTGTCCATGTTTAAAAGCAACCCTACCTTCCCGTGTTCTTGTGAAGAGATATACTAGTTGTTGTCAGAAAACCTTAGGCCTCCATGCCTTTTCGACTATACCATTTTCTGTGTGGGGGTTGCTGCTTTGATTGTACCACAGTCCCGTGATTGAGGGACTGTGCACGTATGTACATAAAGTTTGTGAGGAGCCTGCCGGTGTGGCAGTTGTCTACATATCATGGAAAACGCTAAGTCGGCAAGAAATTTGTTTACAAATCGCGGAAGTTGCTTTGGACGAGAAACTTGCTTTACATACCGTGGTGGTTGGGTCGTGGAAGTGTAAAGTTGCTAAATCTGCGAAGTCGGCGCGAAAAGTTGCTGCCGCAGAAGTTGGCTGCGAAAATTTCAATCATCGACCACAGGGCATCGACGCAAATAAGTTAGAGATTGCAATTTTCACCAACAGAGGGCGTTTCCTTATAACTCTGAGTACGAGTACTTACCAACACAGCCGGGAACACTGTGTGAGGGCGCCCATCTATAACTGGTATGTTCACAGATAAACTCCGTGTCGTCGTATTCCTCTGGTACTATATAACCAGGGTTGCAATATGGTATACATACTCTGTAAACAAAACAATCATGAATAATATTTCAGTGATTTTGTAAATCACGCGTTTTATTGACATTTCAAAACTTTGTTGTAATTCATGATAATAATTAATTTTACACTATAAATACCCCCCCCCCAAAAAAACATACGTTTGACCGGTCTAACAAGATATTTGCCATATTACTAATGCCACTACAATTTATTCCATCAAGAACAAAAAATTAGACAAGACAACAACAGCCGGCTGACATGGCTCCACTTTATAGTAGATATTTGGAGTTATCTTCACGAAATGATATCTTCTCAAATCTGGAAGAGATCCACCAAGGCACATATATACCAAGTATCAAAGCATGCGGACTTGCCGTTTTCAAGAAGAAGTCGAAAATGTAATGTTGACGCCAACGGACGACGACGGACAATCCGTAATATGAACAACTCCGCTTTGTCAACTTAAAAAGCCGCTAGACTTAAAAAAAAGTATCATATGGCCAAATAATATATTGTATATATTTTTGCACAAATAATACAGAATAATAAATGGAATATCCATTCCGTCACGTGATACAAACCGATAAAAGAAAAACTTACGTTCGCTGTGCTTCATCATTACATGTCACATTTCCGTTGCTTGGCAACCCTAGAGCTGGACATTCTGAGAGTGAACCTGTTTATTAGGAAATCGGAGATGAAGATAAAAAGAAAATTTTAGTCGAACGTCCAGCAACACCACCCTTTCTTCCAATAAATGTTTGATGAGAGTACAAAAAGACGCCGTAAAATGAATTTTAGCAAATGGAATCTTTTTAAAATGTCAACAATATTAACCCAAATCAAATTGGATTGTTTTGTTAAATTATTGGACTGGATTTTTTTTTATTGGAAAGCAGCATTTTAAAAGACGGAATTATCGCTGATTTATCTAATTGACGTGATTATACAATTTGTGTTATATTCGATCAAAATTTGCATTTCTGCACTGGTTTCTATGGTGAAAATATTCTTTCATATTTCAATATTCAGCTTGGTAAAATGGATGAAATTTCATTCATATTATCGACAGGAATCCTAATATTGTTGAAAGACTAAACACATGGCATTTAATTTAGCGAGTTTCCGGTGTAATAATAGTTTTCCCAATATATGCAATAGGAAGCTCTTTTACATAATGCTCAATGGTACACAATTTAAAATAATGTAAGATTTAATTATTTTGGTGACGTGCAAGTCTCTGCTCATCTATAATAAAACGTTACCAATACTATTATGTTTTGGGTACAGCAAGTATCAATATCAATGTCATGATTTGCAGGATTTTTTAGTTGTTGTTCGCATATGAAGAACCTTGAGATAAAAGTTGTTTTTGACTAATTTGGTAACAATCAAGTTGTAAACTGAGAACAGATTTCTCAAGGTAAGTGAACTAAGTGAGTATTGGTCACCAAACCGGGGAGGAGAATAACGAACTGGAGAGGAGCACTATTGCTCAACTGCTAGGCCTGAGTCTAAATACTCACGAGATGTTCCATGACAATGTATCAATATCATTATGCAAACAACTAAACTAAACGTCATAGCTTCAAATCATTACACAAATACAATGTATTTATCTCTTTATCTAAACTCAATGAAAATACATATGAATCGTTGTCAAAAGCACATCGCTATTTAGGCTCGATTATATCTACCACACGCGTCCTTGTGGGAACGAACGTAGCCTTTCGTATACGAGATTTAATTACCTTTTATCCAAATACGTCTTTAGAAAAGTATACATCCGTACATTATTTGCTGAACCTCTGAATACCCGGGCAATTAATTAACTAACCCGCATCAATTGAACGACTCGAAATAGCAGAACATCTGGATTTTTGTACACAATTTATGTGTTCAATTGCTAAGTTAATGAGATGTATATTTGGTTGAGCCTGTTTGCTTCCCCTCTACCTTTCCCCGTGTACATTAACTACATCGTATAATGCTTTTCTGTCCTGACCTATTATCAACGTTGTTTGAACAAGTGTTAGCCATTTCATAACAGCCTTTCAAAGAATGATACGCAGTACCGAATAGATCTGTTATCGGTGTAACCGCACTGGCATCAACCTAAACAAACAGTCTGCATTCCTGTGTTTTCAAGTTGAAAACAATGCCTTGGGATTCATGTAAACTTTTATAGGCTGCAATATCGCGACTGGCATTCCCATCAATCCGCTTAATTATATCACTCAATACGACAATGTACAACCAAGCTTTTGGACCACGTTTTCGTTGAACAGCTGCTGTGCACTATTTTTCAATTGAATTTCCTGTGAAGCAACACGTTCAACTAAATGTAACCACCCGTATTTATCGTGGCTACATCTCGTGAAATCAGCAAATGATCGATATGCTCCCATTAACTTCTTGTGAGATTAGCTAATTATAGAAGCGCACCTATCTACATCTCGTGAGATCTACATTTACATCTCGTGAGATCGGCTAATAGTCGAGGAGCGTTCATTTATCAACAGGACATGTACAGAAGTCAAAATTGTTAATTTATTCTAAACTGGAACTAAATATTACGCATCTCTCTTGAATCTATAGCTCTAGGAAAAACTGGAATATTTTCGGGGTTGACTGGGACTTATGTAAAGTCTTTGTCAGTAAAATGTTATTGAATATGCTCTTCTCACGCATGTTATGTGCTTTATTTTCTTTATTTTTAAAATTAATGTCATGAGAATGGAAAAAAAATGTTAAAATACTTAAGTGAAGTTTTAACATTCAATCATCAATATGTTTCTGTTATTCCCTAACGTAACAACTAACAACAGTTAACAATTTACTGACAAACAGTGAAATCAGTGACTCACAATGAGTTGAGATGCCATCTTCAAATTACGAATTGGTGAAATCGTAACTTAAATAATTGCTACTCACTAGAAAAATACAAAATAAATAAGCTCTGTGATTTAGTGTGGGACATGTCCACACATGAAGATATAGTGAATTTCACGAAGGCATAATTTTAAAACATATACCCTGGAAGACCCATTTAGTAACGTCCATTACACATGAGTATTTGCGGGCTTGCTCCAATCTATGGCAGATTTACTGTCATGCATCCGTTAACGCGTTGTGATCGGTCAAGTTGTTTTTAACCGCCATTTTAAATTTCTGAATCATTGAAAATTTATTTTATAAATAAAAAAAAAAAAAAAAAAACTTCCATGCCTTCATGAAATTCATTGTAATACAATTACCGATCTTCACAGTGCGTGTTAACGCACAGAAGCGCCATCATATCAGAGAATGTGGTCATAGTACAAGGTTATTTTCAGACCACAACTAATTGAGAAGTGATCGGCGTAGATTCATCCTTGGAATAATACGACCTCGATTTTTTTTTTCAAAATAATTAAAACCGAAATGGAGGAATCCCGCGTATTAACTTCAAAAGTATGCAATAGCCCATGAACTCAATGAAACGAGAAACAGGATTTTTTTTCCTAGCCTAACCTCGTTTGAATGGAAAGGAGGGGAGAAGTTAGAATGACCTACTTCATCGGATCTCATATTCACATGTGGAATCAATTTTAAAAAAATTTAGCACCAATTGTCAAAATGACGATTCAGAAAAAAATATACGAGTCTTTTTTCACAATGACTGGCATGTGCACGCTGTAATGATGCGAACGAAACGTAATCGACTAATAACTTTGAAGGGAAAATCACGTAAAATATGCATTAATCAGACGGCCATGTGCTCAGGCCTACTTTGTTCACGTTCCGTTTATATTAATAGTACTGAATCGCAGCAACTAGGTTAATAACGACTGTCAAGTGTGGACAGGGGAAAAGTATAACTCGTGATACCATGGTTGCATAGATCTAGGGAGCAGTGGACTCGGGGTTTGAACTGCATACATGAATTGGGTTGTAGATCTGATTGATTTTTTTTTTTTTTTTTGGAAATAGAAAGTTGTTTTAGAGTAAGAGGTTTAGACGCCTGTTGCATACAGATGGGATGATGGTTAATCAAATACGGAATGAGGCCTGGGTAATGTTAAGTTTATTCAACAAATAATAATTGCGACACACTTTTTAGCAAACATAACAAACTACATTATGCGTTACGTATTGCGTCACCATGAATGATCCAGGACAGTGTGTGCACAATTATCAATATATAACCAATATTTCGTAACAGTCAGCTTAAATACTAGTGTACGAGGGACATACCTTAACATATGATTAAATAAGTCTGTAAGGAACATTCCTTAAAACGCTATTTAACAAATATATCATGTGTGTTCCCTAGCACAGATTTCGACAAGTCTGTCAGTTACATTCCTTATAATTAATTATCATAATTTTGGAGAAAATTTGTCATATGATCAATGAGCTATTGCTCCATAGCACAATAAAGTAGCATTCTTTTGTGCGTTACGATGACGTTTTTTTTTTTTTTTTGAAAACTCGTCTTAATATTTTTCAAAAATCGCCATATTTTGGACAACCCCATAGAATACAATGTTGAAGAAAAATTGTTCGAAACGTTTGTGGGATATGGAAATTATTTTCAAGGGCGATGCTTTGTATCCTGTGACCGTAGTTGCAGCATGCATGGACACACCGCATCAGTGAAAATGACCTCCATCTCCAAGAAAGTCGTAACTACTTATTTTGTTACATGATAATTTGCATAGTTATTTCATTTCTCTTGATAATCTTGTTTGTACAAAAATGTGATTTCGGAATTTTTATTATTTGAACTCACATAACCATAGTTCGAAACATTATAAATGATGTATCAAAATATAACGCTGAACTCAACTTTAGAAACTATTTTACCTCATTTTCATATTTTCGCCATATATATATACTGTAAAACATGTTGAAAAAGCGACATGCAATTTTAGCGAATTGTGGTAAGATGGCGTAAAAGCGATTTGTCGATTTAGCGAATCTCTCTTGTCAATGTAGATTTTCCTGTTTTCACAATTCTTGTCTATCGCCTTAAAAAACAAATGCGCAGTTATCACCTCCATAAAAAAACAAAGAAAAACTGCCAAGTGTAATAAGGAAGCGCCCCAGATTTTTATGTTTCGGATTACTGTATACAAATCCCCAAGCCTTGGCCATTTTGAATTTATAATAAAGTCATTAGCAACATCTTGAATTTCGCTAAATTCGCGAAAAAGACATGCTCGCGAAAAAAGACGTGTTTTATATATATACCAATATTATTCAAGCTTATGCCTCTATCGATACCACATCACATGCATTTTAATAGGAACATTCCTTAATACTAGTATATGGGGTAACCGTACGCAAGCTTAGTCACTTGGGGGCTGAAAATGAATTAATACTATTTTTTTTAAAGTCATCCGCTATACGCATATAAAGTTATGAAACATGGCACCTAGTGAAATCGACATTATGTTTCATAACTTGTTCATTTATATGCGTATAGCGAATGACCTTTTTTTTTAATAATATTTATTCATTTTCAGCCCCAAGTTACTGTGTACGCAAAATCACAGAAATTCGCAATTCCAGACACAGGGTTCAACCATAGACCTGTTTTCTAAGGTCTATGGTTCAACAAAATAATCTTCTTATGTAAGCGGTTATCATCACCAAAACTGACAAACTGCCTCGAATATCACAGGGCGATATGTAGGTTAAGCTTCAGTCAGGGTGGACTATGTTTATGGGGATATCAATCAAACAACAAGTCATATCGTTTTACGCTCGGGCACGATCCATTAACAAAACTACCGATTACATAATAATCTAATCAATAAAGCAATGCTACATATGAATTGTAAAGCTGAATGGTGTGAACAGGATAGTCGCATCTCGTATTTTATACTTTTCTTTTTCATGGCATTTTATGATTGTGTGAACGTCTTTTAATTTTGCAGAGATGAGAGAACTCGATAGTTTCATACACAGATTTGCATATTGCTAATATATTCACGTTCTCTGAAAGTAGGAAAGTTGGTATCGTCCAGAAATTGTAAAAAGATTTGTTTATAAATATTTTTTGTTCATCGAAACAGTCCTATTTCAAATTCAAAATGTCTTTAATGATTCTTTAATTATTTATGCGGTTTTGTGTAAGTAAGCTTACATATTGGACGAAGGAAAAATCAAATTCTAAACAAAGGGTTTCATATCATATAGAAATAACGCTGTTTCAACCAATAATTTAAAGCGGAGGGGTCGTCACCTGCGCACGCGCGGGTATTGAGTTCCAAGCGATATAGGCAACACACGCTAAGAACGCAAAGGCTCATGGGTAGACGCTTGTTTGTAAACAATGACATCGTTGACGCTGCAGGTCGGCTTCCTTTCTACACCGATCTGTGCTGGGGCAGCGCTTCCTGTGACGACACAACGCAATGACATGCTATGGCCACCTGATGCATGCGCAGGTGACGATACCTCCGCTTTAAAAAATACTTCTATGGTCAAACTACAAGCTAATTATTCAATTGTTAATATAATTGACGCTGTAGAAGGTAAAAAGCAACAATTCTTATTGGCTAAGACAGTTGACGCAGCACGTGGACAGGTCATCTGTGTATTATGAGATTATTGTCGTCTGTCCGTCGTTCATGTCGTCCGTGTATGATAATTTGTTGATTCAACCTATAAATCCATAATGGAACTATGAAGAACACGAATCGTTGAAAGTTCGCTGAATTCAAGAAGCTACACAAAAAATAATGAATAGAATATTAACCACATGTTTATTAGTAAAGTAGATTGTTAGTTTTTCAATCTGATGACACAACTGTCAAAACATAAAAGAATGCCCCCTCCCCTCGTGATGCTACCGTCAATTTCCGTTGTTGACTTTATTGACCTGAGTTGGCGTAATTTATTTTTGAAGAAAAATGAAAGAAGTGTACGTCTTTAAAGCGTGGTGGTCGTCGCGCGGCGCGTGTTAGAATTTCATGTAAATAAACAATGTATTTTACACGTATTGTATACGTCGCTATGAATCCCATATCGAACAGGTCGCAGCGCGACGACTGCCGCCCTTTAAAAATAGTAACAGTGGTACATTGTGTTTGAATTCCGGAGAATTTGAGATATCGCCTTCCATTCCATGCGACCCCCCAGAACATCGCAATAAACATTTCGTCAACTAGGAAGATGAGGTGAGATATGCGAGCTTAATTGCAGTCGTCATATTATAAAAACAACGTTGTAAACCCCACTGAACTATGGTACATTTGATTCTTTTGTAAAGTCTGTATCCACTTATTTATCATTGAATTTAGTGTCGTTTAATTTTATTTCGCGTGTCTGCATTTTATTACGGTCAGTTTCTTTGATGTCTGTGTTATGCGGCAGCACGGAAAGGCCTCGAAAAATGATTAACTATATCATTCTATTTTACGGAAACATGTTGGTTGTGAATTTTGTGCATGTTATGTAAGTTTCTATAATATTTCCCCATTGGCTTATGTTTTCTATAATTTTTACGCATGCGCACTGCGTGCATCACGTGAATGTGTAAACTCACTTAATATCCACTAAGAAAAAACGCCTAGACAACATAACTTTTTTTTAGACTCGTCAAATTCCTAACTTTTAAGAATATAACAGGCATGAGGCGGGTATCATGTTGTCCTCGTGCGTGGGAAAGACGGTACAAGGCTATGTAGACAGTCACGACCTGCGTCATCATTCATCATAGTAACGACTTCAGTCCTCGAGACGGGCAACTCCATCCTAGTCATCAAAATGTCCAAATGGCTAATAAATTCAACGTGACGTGTTACGCATTAAATGTGCCATTACCTTTTATTATTTTACGCCTTCCTTAGCAATCATCTTTTACTGTGTCTTACTACAAACTCGAGAGTTTTCAGAGATGAATTAGCCTCTTTCTCTGTCGCTTGTGTTTTTCGGTCAATCATTCATGTGCACCCGCGCGCATTTGATAGTTAAATGTGCACTTTGCCACATACGTTATTTGCACCAAGATACGACATTTCTCGGTTGTTTAAAGTCGTGGACCTTGTCCTAAATCGTTGTCTCAAAGTTATTTATATAAGGGTTCAACATTGGCATTTCGTATCAATCAATTCGCTACAGTTGTACACAAGCGCTGGAATTTGAAGAAAAAATTAGTACTTACCTTCTTCCGGAAAATTGGCTGTAATGAAAATAAAAAAATACGTTACACACCGGCAATTTAAACCATTACAGTCGCCTTACAGCGTTGTGTTGGACGTAATATTGTTTGTTTACAGGAAATTCGAATGCTAGCTAGTGGCGCAGCGACGATAAGGGGTAGTTCATTTTGTATATAATTGGTTTGGCTAAGCGTGAACGAAAAATGTCAGTATTGAACCAATATCATTAAAAGTCGTAAAGCGAAACACTATTTCGCCCGAAACTCGAACCACGACACTTTCAATGTAAAGAGTAGGCCACCCCTCATAATTCCATTTATGATGATGTATACAATCATTCTATTAATTCTACCTTCACATCAAAATGATAATTATTGATTGTGCCCAGCAAAAACCTTATTTGCAAATGGCCGTCGAGAGTCTCGTTGAAATCGAGAGCCACGAGACTTGTTTTTACCCCCTAAATAGTGTTCCCTTCTCACACGTCCTCACATGCACTATCGGGGGAGAATGGAACACTCTTTGAGAGGTTAAAAACAAGCCTCGTTAACTCTCGCACTCAGCGAGATATCGACGGCCATTTGCGTCCAGGGTATATTGGTGAGAGCAGCGGGAATCGCTTATCTTCCGGAATAAATGGAATAATTCCTAAATACTTACGGAGTGTCTCCTCACTTCGCTTCTTCCGCACCCGGAATTCGTCTTTTATACTGCAAGAGGAAAAGAAAAGATTGGTATAATTTTGTAATACTACATCAATACACATATCAAATTGCAGTATAAAATAATACAGCGTTTTCAGAACTGGGTCAGATTTTACATCGGCTGGGTGAGGTGTTTCATCGCGCCAATAATTATGTCTCTTTTTCCTTTTTCTCTCTCACTTTGCACAAAATACTCACGAAGCAATTGTCAATAAGGACAACTATTTGTGTTCTGGATAACAAATTTGAACAGCGCCACAGGCGACAGATCTTGAAACATATCCACTACCAACTTCACAAAACGAATGTTACACATTTCAAAAGACTGTATTTAACAAAAGATTGGTATATGGAACATAGATCTCTACCTCGCCTGTGTTATGTTGTTTCCTCGTGACGTCACATTTATGTCATATCAGTGTGTACCTGAATTTTTCCAACGTTCTACCTGCATTCGAGACCTTTGTCTTGGATTCACGCCAATAATATGTCAATGAGACATGATATGCGGCAGTATTTATTAAATGACTACCTTGTTACACGTGTTTTCATTGTCTTATTGAAGAGAAAACTAGGATTTTGCAGCGTATTTTGTTCCCAGTCAATCTAAAATTATATTATACAGTGTGTTTCTTTGAAAATTGTGGTGACATAAGCCTAAAATCAAACCGTACAACTCAATTCGTTCAATCATTATGTGCTATATGTAAAGGGTGACGTTGATATATTTTTGTCAGTTGAACCTGTTGTAATTATATATGTAGATAAAAGCCATTGAAGTCTATCACTGGTTTGAACTCTACAAATCATTTAAATGTGTGTAATGCAGTCAGCTCTGCGATAGTGCTTTCAGGGGGTGTAATATACGATTGAGCGGCGCAAGATTTCTTATGCATAATAACATCAAAACAACAGAAGATATCCATGGGCGAAATATGGTGCAATGTGAACTAAAGCGAAAGCACTACAGGCAAGTGAACAAATGACATTTGTACTCGAAGTGGTGATGTGTGCCTCTAAACCAGCATTTCATTAACCCTCACCCCTCTCTGCCCAAATATTCGTCGATTTTCTTCATTATCATGAAATTCAGTCTTAATAACAATTCCAGCTCTGTACTACTCTAGGGGTAGGGGCCAAAATTGGAACGTCTTTATTAGTCAAAAGATAGTGGACTTTGTGATATGACTTCTTGGTTGTTATGCCTCTCAGTTGCGTAATTGTGAAATGCTGATTGCATCTAAATAAATCTAACAAAGTACTTTTGTTATACTACGGTAGTTTCTGTGATTCTACGGTCAATTTAAGTACATCCGGTATATAGGACACTATGTAAATAGTTTACAATGTTATTCAGTGGGACAAGATTTGGCAATTATATGCTGGCAATTGTGTCAAATGTCAACAAACAATCCAGAATATTAAGGGGCGAACATATGGGGAACATTTTCAGCAACTTATCTTTGAAAAACAGTGTCATGTGCGCATTCTCTCCACCACTGTGTATACTAAGGGAAGGTGTCGTCCCCTGCGCATGCGTCAGATGGCCATAACGTGTCATTGTTTACAAACAAGCGTCTACCCCATGAGCCTTTGCGTTTTTAGAGTGTGTTGTTATTGTCGCTTGGGAGTCAATTTCA